GAAGGTGAAGCTATTTTTGAAGCAAACAAAATACTTTTATTGTGTTAGATATTACAATGAATAATAAATACAGTACGCGTAGCCCGTGACACATTTAAACAGACCGTTTAATATAACTATTATATGTATATAATAAATAAAATAGCCTTCGTACTCTTCTCACTTATAACCAATCGTGATATGACTCGGTACATGTGCTTACTTCACGCATAACGCATGCAGTTATTACGTACACGCATAAAGTTCATTCATTCGTTTCCTTTAATCGTATATTTCCCATTTGCGTTCCGTTGGTTAGGCTTTTACCTCCCTTTGTTAAACGTCATTAACAGCGAAAAAAAAACGTAAAACTGTTGGAATCAAGGTTCCTACACTAGTTTTCTTTTCCGCGCGGTTAAAGTTTAAACGTTATCAATTTCACGCTGCAACAAGATAGAAAGAGGATAAAAAGTATGTATTTTATTAGAAAAAATAATTTTTTCCCCATCTCGTTCTTCTCTCGATCTTAGTCACACGGCAATATGATAAATAAAAAGTTATTATCTGTTCTCGTAATTCTACTGGTAAGAAGTGTTCTCGACCAACAGAGAGATAGACGCTAATAATAAGTATAAGGAGATCACGTTGTATCTACTTGATAACTTTTGATTCAATTTTTTGGTTAGTCGATAACAATTGACAGAGAGTGAAGTATATGTTAAAAGCAATCGATCACATGCACACGTTTATCGATCCTTTTACACTCGACTCGATCTTCCCTCATCCTCGTTATTATCATCGTTACCTTGGACCGTTTAAACGGTAGTCGTTGAATTATACAAATCGTCGTTTAAACCGTCGTGTACTTTGATTGATTTTCATTAATTAATTGATTTGTGACATCGTGAAGGATTGGCCAATCGTATGTACGTGTTTTCTATTACAAGAACACTACGTGATATTATTAGAAACAAATGTGCATGCATATAGGATGGAAGGAGATAGTGAAAGTATAAAATTACACGATGGATATATTTAATTTAGAAAAGTTGAGGAGGTCATTTGTGAGTATCGAGTCGTTCAATAACGGGACGCAAAACCGAGCCACGCAAAAGTCAATACTACCAAATGTAACTCTGGTTAACGAAATAAGTGGTTAATGAAAAGAATTAATGACTGCTACGACATACTTTCGTTCGAATAGAAATTGTAAGAGTTTATTATAGTTTTTTGAGTAACGATTTTATTATCTTTATTATATGTTTCTGTCTTCAATTTTTATTCAGTATCACAAATGTTACATTCTTCTACCGAAAGCAAATAACATACTTTTTTGTGGTATGCAGAAACATTTATTTCCTATGCAATATATAAAAAGATTTGTTAAAAATTTTTATTAGGTCAAATCCTGAGGTGAAAAATAAATGTCGCGATCACTAATAAAAAGATCCAAGTAAGTTATACGTTATGCTAATCTTAGTTATTCGATTTTTGAAAATCTATTAATAAATCTTCGGATTTAAATACGCTTCGTCACATTCGAGAGACAGCTAAGACGTAGTTACATGCAGGTATTGATTGTTAAATGATTTTCGCGTGGCTCGTGATTTTCAATAATGGTTACAAGTCTTTCGCAATGAACAAATAGGTAAAGAAACGTATACGCAATCTACATAATATAGACACACATATTATATGTACACCTATATGCATGTATGTAAGTACCTACGAATGTGGCTCACGTGTTGTTCTTACATGCGTGTATAATACGATTATTAATTACAAATATATTCACTCACCGAGAAACATTTAGAAACGAAGCTGTTTCAAAATTATACATTACTGTTCCAGTTATTGTACGTTATATACAGATACGCATACGACTGGAATAAATCAATTAGATAAAAAAGACATAATAATCAATCAAATTACAAATACTCTCTAGTCCATCTTCGAAGTAAGTCGCAGATTTTTGTGCAGATTAAATCATTCGACGAAACGAGATCTAAATAGAAATTTGTTTTACCTTTAAAAATATTTTATGTTCACGTCAGATTCGTTTCTTATATTTTCGGCAGATACTTCTGTGATGTTAAAAATGCATGATCATAGAGATACATAAAATCCTGACGATAATTCGAAATAAAAATAGCAATGCTGTTTGTAATTTTCATCGGTGAGCGTGTAGTGTAGTCACAGGCCAACATTTTCCTATATAATTACAACACAGCACAATCATTGTCGCATCATTATTAATTATTATTTTTTTTTTTGTTTCATGTCCAAAGTACTTAACTTTATATTACGGTAATAATAATATATAAATATAGTATGTACGTAATATTAAAATTGACCGAGATGTATTCTATTGACTAGGCACACTTAGTTTATAATTAATAACAACGAGAAGATTGTGTCCCTTCCATTTTCTCTTACACTCCCAATACTTTTCTTCGTATCCTGATTTTACTTATTTTCATTCAGCAAGTGTAAATTAACTGTAAATGAAATATTTTACTTCGCATCGTGACAAAAGTAGCTGGATATTAAAAAAACAGTGAAGTATCCAAGAAATTTAACAAATCGGCTTGAATTAATTAGGACTTTAAGTGTAGCTTTAACCAATAATTATTAATAAGCCGTCGTTTGTATTATAAGATGATATAACAAAATGTAAACTTGTGAGGATTTCCAAATGTAATTAGAGATTCGAGAGTCTCATTAATTTACATTCGCCGTAAAGTCGCGGTCGTCGCCTCGTTTCAACTGTTTTAACGTTTGGCAAACAAATTCGACACCGTCCGAAATTTCGTCCTCTTTCCCTTTTCCTCTCTTCTGCCTTTCTCATCCGTCCATACGCTATCCGTCTTAGAACTACGTTACGTAATTATTAGTAATAGTAAATGTTATTACATACGATGTATCTTATCGTTAGTTTACACCTTACTGTAGTATATGAAAAAATAGAAACTTCTGACAATAGAAAACCAAACAAAGATTGAATATATACGCTATCCGAAAGGGTCAACGTTCACCCGTGTGCAAAATTTGTTGAACGTCGTCCGTCAACGTTGATTTTACATCGTACGCTGATTATGTACAGAAGAAAAATCATCACGTAATTTCGTGGCGGTTTTCTCCTTTACACCTTTTACTTTCACTGCTTCGCAAAGTTCCTCCTTTTCCCTCGGTGTCCGATTGGAAAATGCGAAACTGGCTTGTCGTTTTGCAAAATTCGAAAGTATCGAAACTCGCCTGTCTCATCTATGAAATTCTGAATCTAACAGAATGCCTACTATTTTTTTAAGTATTTCTGGTACAATAGGCTCCTTAGAGTATCTCAACGCTTATCATAGTCCTTTTTTACAGAGCAGGATTTTTATGCCAAATTACATTAATTTAATTAATAAGCTTTAATTGAATGTTTCAGATCTTGAATAAAAAATCCATTGGCAAAGCTTCGAGGTTTCACGTGTTCGTCAGAATGAAATACAAGGTAATTTTTTTAATTTCTGAATTCTATGAGAAAAACCTTTTCCTTTGAAATTTTTATAAAAATTGCATGTACTACGGATACGTCTATGTAAATCGACGAATCTTTCTCGTGGTAAGCATTTAAATACTCCGGTGTGCCATTGTACGCGTCCCGAAGTACCCATAAATAATTAATCAGATGACAATTAGACTGCGGACTTTTATGAAAGTTTAAATAAAATCGTAAGACGCGCTGAATTACATAATTTGCATAAAAATCAATTTTTTGCATAAAAATCCACAGTATAATAATAACTTGGAAAATGTCCACGTCCAATTCTTATTAACTTTAATAAGTCAGCTGTTTGGCTTCGATTAGATTTCGTGCCGATTGTTAAAAATTCATGAGTCAACGATAAACTATATCGAGATCAAGTTCAATACTCTGTCGCTTAATAATAATAAAATAAGCGACGGTACAACGTAAATGATAATAACTTGTATTCATATCCTGTGCGTGTCAGTACGTGTGTGTGTGTGTGTGTGTGTTGCATGTACTACGGATACGTCTATGTAAATCGACGAATCTTTCTCGTGGTAAGCATTTAAATACTCCGGTGTGCCATTGTACGCGTCCCGAAGTACCCATAAATAATTAATCAGATGACAATTAGACTGCGGACTTTTATGAAAGTTTAAATAAAATCGTAAGACGCGCTGAATTACATAATTTGCATAAAAATCAATTTTTTGCATAAAAATCCACAGTATAATAATAACTTGGAAAATGTCCACGTCCAATTCTTATTAACTTTAATAAGTCAGCTGTTTGGCTTCGATTAGATTTCGTGCCGATTGT